ACTATGGGAACCCAGACAAAGCAGCCATTAATTCTGACTGGAAATATCAGGGAAGGCATGGCAGAAGAGGTGGCCTTTAGCGGAGCTGTGAAATGTAAGTTAAGTCCACCAGGTGGAGGAAAGAAGGAAGAAAGGAACAGAGAAAGAGGGGACAAGAGAGAATTAAATAGAGGGGATTACATTAAGCGGAGGGAATGGCCAAGAAATGAGGCAGAGGCTGGAGAAGTAGCTCCCACCCTCCTTAGACAAACCTTCATCATGGCTTTCATCGTCTGTAGAGCTAGAAAGCCTTACTTCCCTGTCTCTCTCGCGGGCAGCAATCTGAGCTCCCTCAAGGGCTGGATTGGGTCTGCCTCGTTGTGCTGTCACTAAGACCTCACCGCAATGGCCGATGCACAGTAGGGACTCAATAAAAGTTGGAAGAATGAGTGGATTCCTGAGCCAGCAAACACACCAAAATACATAACTAAAAGGCCAGAGCGTGAGGGGGGCGCAGGAAAAGCAACCCATCGTGGTTGGAGAGAAGAGCCGCAAAAGGGCTATTCTGGGAGAAGAGGTTAACGGTGCAAGTCAGAGGTCAAGTCAAGCAGCAGATGGACCCATGCTGCAGGCATCAGACATGACCGACGAGTCTGAGGGGCACTAGGTCTTCCCAGTGTCCCTCAGATGACATGAATGAGACAGCTTGTGGACTTTTCAGGTCCCCCAAACGTTCTGACTAATGAAGGAAAAACGACTATGAGAAGGCAGGAAGACACAAAGTAGATGCCTTAGTCATGGTCTTCCAAAAATTGAATGGAAGAGAATTACTCCCCCCATGGTGTCGGTTTCCCGCTAACCGCAGTATGTTCCTGATCCGCATTCTATTTGTGGTCAGTTCTGACCCCCACACGTTTTTCTCTTACACTCATTCCCACACTGTATTGGTAGTCTTAGAGTTGGGTCTTTACAAGCATATTTTCTTATTAAGTTTCAACCCTAATTATGATAGGCTTATTTTTCCAATGCATAGGGTCATTCCGAGCTTTATTACTATTTTCCAGAGAAATCAAAACCACACCAAATTTGGGACCCACAAATTTGATACACACATTCTTGACTTCTTTGTCTGGAACATCGGTAAACAGGCTGACTCGGCTGGCCCTCGGGACCAACTTCTTGTGAGCCATCCTTCAAAGTCTTTCCTCTCCCCAAACTCTCTCCAGCACCCACTAATCTTCAGCGCAGACATTCAGCTGGTTAAAGCTCTGTGGCCAAGACCTTATTTTCCCCGGGTTATCCAGTGAAACAGATCACTTTGGAGACGTCCCCCTGGTCTTTGGGTCCTGCTTGATTGCTGTGAACGATTAAAGTTGCCTTTAAGATCTGCCCTTCACAAAACCATAGTGGCTGCTATTGAGTGCTTGGGGACACCCTGGGTGACTACAGATTGATTGTTGGATGGTTCCTTCTCATGTTTCTTCCCAAAGATCAATACGTTGGCAGCCTTTAACGACTAGGGTCATCCTGCATTTCCTCCCTTCTTATTATTTGCCCTTTTCTAATCCTTAGGGACTTTTCCAGTTCTCAATAACTTCTCAAAAATAATGACCTATGGGACCTTGCCCACATCTGCTGGTTCAGCCTGCATCCTCCGGGTACACGCACATCATGCAATGGTTCTGATCTGAACGCTCCCTGTTCCTCTTTCTCTCAATAACCATCGCTCTTGCTTTGACGGACCTGTGCGTCTTCCAAACATTCCATCTTGGCTGAACTTTCTTTTTGGTCAGCTACTTGTCTATGATCTCTTCTGAGGAGATAAGATAAAAAGGCTTTAGAGTGCTCAGCCTTATCCATCTATACTCTGACAGGAATATTAATTTGTTCCTTCTTAATAAGGGAATCAATTTTTTCTCTAGTGCTTCTTTTATTGATTGATTGATTGATTGGTAAATTTCCTTGAACGATTGTTTTGCTTTCTGTATATACTAGTGGTGCCTTCTTCTCAAATGGGACCATCCTTCAAATTTAAAAAAATATTTTTTTTCCACATAGCTATTCCCATATGTTCTGCTTTAGGGACCTGAGCTGATTTCCACATTTTGTGTACGATTGTAAACAAATGCACTACACGGGACTAAGGGCCTAAAACTTTTTTT